TGGGGGGGGGGGGGAAGTTCTATCCCAAGTAATATACGAAGACTTTATTGTAAAAATTGAAAACAAAGGGCTTGAAAGAAGTATAATGAGAAAGTAAAAGTCTCCTAACCCCCAAAGTAGCTACTGTTAACAGGATACCATCTAGCCTTCCAAAGTTTTTATACACATATGTGCATATATAAATTATAAATATATTGTGTTTTCCCATTTACCTAAGTGATACCATATTATATGTATTTTCCTGCAATTTACTATTTTTTCTCCTAAACATGTCTTAGCTATCTTTCCGCCTTGGCACGTGGAGTCCTGCTTCATTTGTAATAGGTGCTGCCTTTTATTTCATGGTGTGGATAACCGTGGTTTGTCTTAACGATTCCCATACCGACGGAGACTTCTCTGGTGTCATTCTCGCTACTTGAAGCAGTGACGCAGTGAATACCTTTTACAGGAGTGTGAATATTTCCGGAGGAGAGGGACACAGACATAGAGTCCTGGGTCAAACACCATGTGCATTTGATTTGGATAGACACGGCCTGTATTCGTTAAGATGATACAACTTGTGTCCTGTAACCAAAATGTTAGAATAACAGTGGCTTCAAACAAGATAGTTGTTTCCTTTTCTTTGATTCACAGTCTAAGTGTAAGCAGCACAGGGTAACATGATGGCTACCAGCGGCAGGAACTCATTTCTTCTGGCTTGTTGTTCTCCCATCTTCAACACGCGGCTCTAATCTTAGGGTCTGAGATGATTGCTTTCTCTCCTCCATTTATATCCATTTTCTAAGAAGGGGAGAAGGAAAGTTTAGGGCAGAAGCCAGAATTAGTCAGAACTTAATCATATTGGCCACACATTGCAGTGATGTGTGGCCAATAGGATTAAGGCAGCTAAGTTTCTGTTACTAAAAGAAGAAATCTCATAAAGACATGTGAGACCTTTACATTATAAAACATCGCTAAAAGTGGGGTTTTCTAAGTCACTGTAGCCTGTGGGTGCCAGCGGCATTCTGTGCGTTGCCTGGTCCCAGAGCCCAGCCATTTTTCGGTTGGTGGTTTTCTTACTGATTTGTGGGCACTCCTCTTCGATTGTGTGTATTAACCTTTCATCTTTTGTAGGTGCTATACATATTTTCTTGTAGTTATTTTTTTATTTTTAATTTTGATGCCTCTTGACATATTAAGGTTTTAAAATTATATGTAATCAAATCTCTCAGTCTGTTTATGGCTCTGAGGTTTGTATGTTGTTGCTTTTATAATCAGAAAAATAACAAGAATATCCAGTTCAGAAAGAGAGACAGAAAGAACTTAAAGCAGCAGCAATGGGTAACTGAACTATAGAGAGAACCTAAAGTCTCACATTCACTTTTATTCCAGTATCCTCTTTAATAGGCTATCTCCATGAGCTCTCTGAGGGACCTGTGCTTTGAAAACTGAAGAGGGTTTAGATGGGTGGAGGAAAAGGGAGAAGGTGTTCCAAGCGAAAGGAACCACTTAAGTTAGGCCGTAAATGTCGCTGAGGTGGACCTAGCGGGATGAGGCATGTACATTGGGAACAGTGGGAAAGAAGCTGGACATGTAGGTTGAGGACGGTCTTGGCGAACAGGGCAGAGGATTAATAGAGTGATTGCAAGTAACATTGGTATTGCAAGGAAAATATCCAATGCAGGAGGATATGTAGTAATCACCAATAAATTTTTTTTTAAAGGAAGCAAATTAAGTTATTACAAAAGGGAAATGGTTGAGTAAATTAGGGGCTAGACACATGAAAATACTAATATTAAATATAATCATTTTTTAAGGCTGCATGGAAAAAATGACAATTATAGGTAAAAAATTATTTAAAATCACATAATCTCCTAATTTTGTTTACAACTACTTAAAGAAATGCATGTGTGAAACGACTGAAAAGGGACACCTCGAAACTAGGAGAGACACTTGGATGATGCATCATTATTTTTCTTTTTTAAATATTCTTCTTATTGTTATTCTCTGTAATATTTTCAAAGAGGCAGGTGTTAGTGGATTGGACAATCAGCAGAGGCATTTCAAGGCTTCCTGTAGGTGAACTAGGGGCCCAGGGCTGTGTGCTGCTTGGGCGGAGGGACGCCTTACCCTTTGGGATGTGTGACAGGGAAAGGGGCCCCATTCCAAGGCCTGCTGGTCCTTTTAGTCCCCAGGTGAATAAAGTCCTTTCTTGCATTCCAGGGTCTCCTCATGCTGCTACAAAACCTACCTACAATACACTGGGGCAACGAAGAGATTGGGCTGCTTCTCGCCGAGGCGTACAGACTCAAGTATATGTTTGCCGACGCCCCTAATCACTACCGCCGATAGGTGCTGTCTCCCCATGGGGACCCAGACTGCCCCCATCTCTGATGGCAATCTGATCACTGTGGCCACTGTGCGAGCCGTGGACTGGACCAGGAACCACTCCTGCTGTAAAAAGCTCACATCTGCCGCCCAGGTCTTAACTTTTTGGCGTGCCTATCACACCACTCCATGTCTCTGGATGGGTCTCCTGGACCGCTGTCAGTATTCCATGCCATGTGCGTGGGCCCAGCTCTGGGAGAGGACTGAAAAGGAGGTACAGGGTTGTCTGCCCCTTTAAAAGAACTGGACAAATGAAGGGGAAGGCTCAGGGTCTTAACTCACATTGTCCCTCCATGGACTGGCTGTGTCTTGCCTCCCAGCCCCAGCTGATACTGTTGCTTTTTGTGACATAGTTTGATTTGATCACAGGTCAAAAACGCCTTATGTTTTCAAAATCCTCCTGGCCCCTCTCCCCTGGCCCCAGGTCCTAGCCCTTTACCTCTGCCCTGGTCCGAGCGAGTGAGGGCAGCTTTTCAAGACCATTATTCCCAGATGGAGGAGGCACCGATGCTTAACTCTGGGAAGAGGCCTTCACCCAAGGGCTGGGGATTTTAATTTTCCTCCTCTCACCAGTATGTGAGTGTGCGTTTGTGTGCGTAGCTGGGTGGGTATACACACCCAGCATTTAGTTACATGTCTGAATTTCTTTGTCCAGAATAGCCCCATCACAACCAGCTGGGAAAGGCCCTAGTGACCAGTGTACAGTGTCCCTTGAGAAGGATCAGGGCAGGGGAGGGAGAAGGGTCTTTTGACCTCTCCAAACCCTTTTCCATGATGACCCACTCCAAGATATTATGTGTAAATTGTGTTATTATGTATATGGGTAAAGATGTACAAATATATGTCCTCTTTGTAGCAGATATGATTTTATATTTATAATGTGCATCAACATGTGAAAGCAATCTAGGTCATAGCACAGGTGAAGCTGTCAGGCAGGTGGCTTGAGCCTCCCGGTTGGTTTCTGGGGCCCTCCTGTGCAGGGAGCGAATGGGATCTGCTGGGGTGAGCAGTGCTGAGCAGATGGAGCTGCCTTGAAACCAGTGGCAGCCATGCCAGGCATCAGTGTCTCAGAGTTGTTTCTCCTCCCCTTTCCCACCCCTTCCAGGCCCTGATGGAGCCTCTGCCTTGCGCCTTCCCATCCTCAGACCGAGCTCCCATCCTTCACCCCCGCAGCCTCCCAGAGAGAGGACCGCAGAGGCAGAAGCCCTTCTGCATGAGTTTAGCCCCTGCCTCGCCCCCGCCCCCCACCCCAGAATCTGGGGAGGGCTTTTGTTTTTACATCTCTAAGTCAGCATTGTATTCAAGACAGAAGCTGTGACTGACTGTCAGTGCCAAGGAAAGGGGTTTCCTGTGTGTCCCTGGGGTTTGGGGCTCTTCTCAGAGAGAGGCATTCGTTGTCCCCCACTGTTACCATCACACCTCACCCAGCTCATGAGATGTGTGACTCCTGTTCAATTTTTGGTATTTGGAAGTGGAGAAGTGGGGGTGGGGGCAAGCAGCTGTCATCTTCTAGGGAAGCCAAGCAGTATCCCCAGTGGGTCACACCCTTGAGTCTCTGCCAGCGGAGCCCACCGCGCAGGCGTATTACATTTCTCATCTGGAGCTGTTTCTCAGGCATCCTTCCTAACCCTGCGCCCTCCCCTTTCAGTGTGCCTCAGCCTCCTCCACAGAGAGGGCCCGTGGCCCGTTCTCAGCTGGACTGAAGAAAGACACTTGTGTTCCCAAGTGGTGGTTTTATTTTTTTAGTTTTTATGTTTGTATGGGAAATTGTGGATAAAGTGAAAGAATTGTAAATAAATAGTGGATTTCCTCCTCCACTTCTGATTTTTCTTCCATGGATTTGTGTAACCTGGACCCTAAGGAGCCTCCTTTTCTCGTTTTTTTTCGGTTGATACTAGTAAGCGTGAGGGATAGGCCTTCTGTACAACAGGCAGGGGATCAACAGGAGGTCAGAAGACAGCCCAGAGGACGTCAGCAGGCCCGCTGTGCACCGCCTCGGGAAGGAAACTGGAAACAGAATGAATGGTGACATGGCTCCTAATTGCTGACAGAGCACCTGGCCATGTGCCAAACATGGGGACAGGCACTTTACATGGATTAATTTATCCAAAAGGAATATGTCATGTAGTAGAGGCTAGAAAATGTACTAGAATTTCAGTGCTAGATGAGACACCTAGTTCAACACGGGCTTGCCTGCACAGGGTTTTCCCTCCAAACCATTTACAACTAAAATGTGTTCAAAGACTCACCCTCCATTTAGGGTCTTCATTAAGGTTTCTTTTTTTTGGTTGGTGGTTGGTTTTTCTCTTAGTAACCTGCCTCCAGAAAGGCAGCTAACTGCATTTTTATCTACAGTACAGATTGGCATGGTTTCTTCACCTGGAACTTCTTCCTAGGACTCATTTGAGAGTGTTTCCTGGTTTCAGTCATTAGGATTAAATTCAGCAACATGTAACAGAAACAAAAAATAACTGACTTACTTAACATGGGCATTTACTTCTCCCTCATGTAAAAGTCCAAAAGTAGGCAACCCAGGGCTCGTATGAGTGTTTCACAAAGCCTTTAGGAGCCTGGACTTCTCTCTGTTTTCATGGTAAAGATGACAACTAGCACTCTAGCTACTACATCCACTTTCCAAGCAACAGGATGGATTAAGGAAGGGACAAAGAAAAAACGTAGGAAATGTGCCAGCAGTGTTTTAAGGAAGGTTCCAGGAAGATGCCCCATAATACTTCTTGTGACTCACAGGTCAAAATTCAGTCCTATGGTCAGTCACCCCTAGTTGCAAGGGAGATTGGGGAATTAGTCAATTGTAGGCAGCCATGTACCTGGTTCAAAGTCAGGATTCTATTACTATGGAGGAAGGGGGGAACAGATACTAGAATCCAGATAGCAATCTCTACAGTAAGAACTTAAAACCCAGCCGGTGTGACTCAGTGGTTGGCATCATCCTAGGAACCAAGAGGTCACAGTTCGATTCCCAGTCAGGGCACATGGCCAGGCTGCAGGCTTAATCCCCAGTAGGGGGCGTGCAGGAGGCAGCCGATCGATGTTTCTCCTTGATGTTTCTATTTCCCTCTCCCTCTCCCTTCCTCTCTCTCTAAAGAAGAACATAAGAAGATGAGTTGAAAATCAAGACCAGACTTTCCCATAAGCATATAGAAAGGATTTGACTTTGAAATTCAAGTGACTGTTCACACTTAACCTTGGAATTTAACTATTCTCATAAAACATGGGCAGTATTTCTACTTGATATTATTTGGACTTGAGGCCTTTAATTGTTCCTGAGGCTGGTAGAAAAAATAACTATTCTGAATTAGTCTTCATTCAAAATTCTGTTTTTCATTTATGTAAGAAGTCAAACATTTTTCTGAAATATGTTTGATTATGTTTAAAGAAGTGTTGAAAACTTGCATACTAACTGGCATACTCTGACCTAGGGTGGATCCAATGTTTCTGTAACTTAAATCTCTATACTTCTACTTAAATTGGCCCTCTCAGCTTTTATTCATCTGTGAAGGCATAGTTGCAAATTGCTCAAATAGTGACCCCATTTGCTCCTTGAGGCAAAACCTCTTGCTGACAGCATTTAGCTTGTCTAGGCTTGGACTTTGCATGTCCAGCATCTTTGTAAAGCTTTAAGGATTGGAGTCAGAAACTGAGCCGCAGTAACTGACACCTCTTCTTGGGACTTCCAACACTCAATCCCCAACTCGAGACTGTCTGAAGGACCAGAGTACAGTGACCACTGAACCGAGAAGGTATCTTGAGACCAGAAAACGAGGCAGGCAAGTCGATTGATTATAACAATTTATTGTAGAGTAAGTTGCTTACAGGAAGATTGGGTCAGAGCAGAAGGTGACCCCACAGTCTGCACAGATAATCTCTGCTGCTAGACAGTTGTTACAATAAATGTTTATAGTTTATAGCTGAACTACTAATGATCGACAAGACAAAGGGAGCATACCTCCTGGTGGTCTTATGATAGATAATTGCTTACAACTGACACCAGCACCTACTTTGGTATTTATCTCATTTGCTATGCCATTCTGGCTTTTACTGACAGGAATCTTTATGGTTATATTGTATAAGCTTACAGGACACAACTAATCATTAACTATAAGGCTTTGGTCCTGGGTAAAACTATTTAGGTCAAGTTCAGAACATGGAAATTTGAAAAATCAGGGGGCACACAAAGATGAAATCAAGCTTTGTTTACATCTACATCTATACAGAGGCAGTTTTGGAAGCCTGCCATAGGCACCAAATAGAGGATTTTAGACTCATGATGAAAAAGATGAAATTAACACAGAATCAGAACAGTTTACAGTCTATGTGCTGTTAATCTTTTATCACTTCAAGTAAAATGCAGAAGCCTTACAACCAGATAGATCCTTTTACCCTCCCCTTTTATATTATAGTTGTTTATGAATTGTCAGCATACATTGAAAACCTGACCAGACACAGTTACAATTTTTGCTTTCAATAGTTACACATATTTAAAGTAACTTAAGAGGATACAATTATGTTTCTCCTTCATTCCTTAAGTTTCCCTCTGCTGCTATTTCCCTTCAGCCTAAAAAACTTCCTTGGGCATTTCTCATGGAGGTGTGCTAACAACTCTCTTCATTTTTCTCATCTGAGAACTGTCTTTACTTTGCCTTCATCCCTCTATGTATTTTCTCTGGACATTGTTATTTTCTTTTGGTACTTTAAAGATGCTCCACTGTCTCCTTGCTTCCACAGTTTCTGATGAGAATTCCAGTCATCGAAATCATTGTTCTATATTTAATTCATCATTTTTCTCAGACTGCTTTTCTAAAAAGTTGTGGCAAAATTTGCCATTTTAATCATTTTTTTAATCTTCACTTGAGGATATTTTTTCCATTGCTTTTCTGAGAGAGCGGAAGGAAGAGTGAGAGCAAGAGAGAGAGAGAGAGAGAGAGAAACATCGATGTGAGAGAGACACATCGCTTGGTTGCCTCCCACATGCACCCTGACCGGGGCCAGGAATCGAGCCTGCAATTGATGTACCCTTGACCAGAATCAAACCCAACGCCCTTCAGTCCACTGTCCAACACTTTAGTCACTGAGCCAAGCCAGCTCGGGCCATTTTAATCCTTTTTAAGTGTACAGTTCAGTAGTGTTAAGTACATTCACATTGTTTGCAACTATCACCACCATCTCCAGAACTCTTCATTTTGCAAAACTGGAACTCTGGCCCGGCCGGGCGTGGCTCAGTGGCTGAGCATCAACCTAGGATCCAGGCGATCGGGGTTCGATTCCCGGTCAGGGCACATGCCCAGGTTGCGGGCTCGATCCCCAGATCAATGACTCTCATCATTGATGTTTATATCTCTCTCTGTCTCCCTCTCCTTTCCTCTCTCTGAAATCAATAAAGATATATTAAAAAACAACAACAAAACAAACAAAAAACCCCCACAAAACTGGAACTCCGTACCAGGAGCTCTCTTTCCCCTACTCCCAGCCCCTGGCAGTCGCCCCTCTACTTTCTGTCTTTGAATTTGACCACTTTAGGTCCCTCATATAAGTGGGATCATACAGTACTTGTCTTTTTGTGTCTAGCTTATCTCACTTAGCATATGTCCTCAAGGTTCATCCATGTTGTAATGCATATCAGAATTTCCTTTTCTTTCAATTCTCACATGAGGATATTTTCTCCATTGCTTTTCAGAGAGAGTGCAGGGAGGGAGGGACGGAGAGGGGGAGAGAGAGAAAAACATCAATGTGAGAGAGACACAGCAACTGGTTGCTTCCCACACATGCCCCAAACAGGGATGGGGAGAGAACCTGCAACCGAGGTGTGTGCCCTTGACCAGGAATGGAACCTGCAACTCAGGTGCGTGGCCTTGACTGGGAATGAAACCTGTGACCTTTTGGTGTGCAGGCCTATGCTCCAATCACTGAGCCACACTGGCCAGGGTGGAATTTCCTTCCTCTTTAAGGCTGGGTAATGTCCCATTGTATGCGTAGACTGCGTTTTGTGTTTTCTGTTCATCTGCCAATGGGCGGTTGGCTCACTTCCATTTTGGCTGTTGTGCATAATGCTGCTGTGACCATGGGTACGTAAGAGACCCTGCCTTCAGTTCTTTGGGTATATACCCAGAAGCCCACTTGCTGAATCATACTGTAATTCTATTTTCAATATTCTAAGATACCCCATATTGTTCCTCAGACTGCTTTTAAGATTGGGGAGAGGGTTCAAAAGTTTGATCATATATCTGAGTGTGGGTTGTATTGTTTATTTGTGTTTTGGAGGGTTTTTGTTTGTTTTCTATATTTATCCTATTTGGGGTTCCCTGAGTTTCTTGACTCTATCATTTTTTTTGTCTTTCACCAAATTTGAGAAGCTTTTAGCTGTTTCCTCAAATACATGTATTTTTTCCTGTGCCAGTCTCTTACTGCTCCCCTGGGACGCCTGTGATACAAATGTTGGACCCACAGTTGCTAAGTCTTTGTTCATTATTTCTTCAGTCTTTTTCCCCCTGTTCTTCAGATATTTTCTNGTTCTTCAGATATTTTCCCTTTATCTGTCTTCAAGTTCATTAACTCCTTTCCTGTCATCTCCATTCTACTATTGAGCCCATGCAGTGATTTTTTAATTTCTGCTATTGTGGGTTTGGGTTCTAACGTTTCCATTTGGTTCTTTTAATAGTTACTGTTTCTCTGCTGAGAACTATCTTTCCCTTCATTTCAAGGGAAAATGATAGTACTTTCATCTCCTGGAACACAGTTATGATACCTGTTTTAAGTTTTGTCTGATCATTCCAATCTGGATCATACCGGGTTTGGCATC